TTATAATATTCACAATATGACGCAATTACACTATCTTATACATTCAAAGGTAAATGTCTTTATAATTATAGTACGTCATTTTAGGGCAGTCTCTCCAAGTCAAAGAGTGACTACGCCTTTCTAATATTCTTGAATACTCTACACCTCCAGTTATAAGAGCGGGACTTGAGTCAAGTAATGCTTGGCGTTTAATGAACAGGAAACTTATTAAGTGCTAGGTATTAGGTTGAAGGGAAGTCCTAAATACTCACTCATACAAGCTTTATTAATGGATTTATACAACATGGAGGTGTCCGTATACGATATTTGTGTGTTTCAGTGCCTTGGAGTATTGTCTGAACGTGGAAAATATGAATCTATCAGCAATAAGAACAATTCGCGTGCTTCGACCCTTGCGAGCGATAAACAGAATACCAAGTAAGTTTCTTTGTTTACCTTGTGGTAGAACACAGTGGTTATTTAATAGTAAAAGGGAAATAAATGTACCTGCACCGCTAGGTATGACCCAATTAATTTTTAATCGAGGTTCTCTAAAGAATTTAGTCAATTTAGATGCTAAATTTTTTTTCGATCTCCATATGTTTGTTTCAAAGGGCTGTCTGGTCAGTGACCACGAATAGTACGTCATGAAAATCTCCACTAGTAGGATATTTTGTATTTCTATATTTTATTTTTACCCTTGTGTTGGGCAAGGCCGTGGTCTAGGCAACACGGAGTTTTCCTCCGTGGCATCCCAACAATTACTCCATTCACACACAGAAGAAGGCAATGGCAAACCACTTCTGGATCATCTGCCAAGAACGTATATGAACAGGTCCCAGTCCGAGAAAAGGATGGAAGGATCCTGTTCATATGGACCTGTCGTCAGACAGAACACTAAATAAATAAAATAAATAATATAGAAATTATAAAATGGTCAGCTTCACTTACTTTTTTTACATGTGACAGCTCAGCGTGAATGTTTATTTTGTTGACTCTGCCCAAAAATTTCTTTTGAGATTTACTTTTTTGTAGGGTAGGACGAAGTCGGACACGGCCCATTCCACATATTTGAGTGGCTAGTAAGTCGCTGGGATCCGTTTCCTTGCTTTCTTGTTACAAATTCCAGATCTTCTGTCGTGTTATCAATCAGTTTCTGACAAACAGCTCAAATAGTGGGGCTTCAAGACGAAATTGAACGATCCAGGGCTGTTGTAAATAATGTAACAGGGGATCGGAGTCTTGTAAGAGGCGGATAATATCCAGCTGAGCAGTTGCCATCGTCTCAAGGAGGACTTTTCTTCGTGGTGTTGCTTTAAAGTACTGGTAAAAATCTCACTGAATATTGATTCTGGGGCAAGTAGTTTGTTGTCGCTAATTGTCGATTTTTATTTTATTTTGTTATTAAATTTCATCGTCCAAGTGCACAAATCATATTCGACAGAGGCACAGAATCGAGTCGAGTCCTGCGGATTGGACACGCGGAGAAACGCATGAACTTATATTTTTCTTTTCTCTGACGACAGTCGCTAAATTCACTTGTGGGGAAAATAAGAAAAGACGAAGAGAGATAAAGAAAGGAGATATATAAGAAGCGAAATGTCAAGAGAAGACGAGAAAACTTACGGAAACCTTTATGGGGAGTTGATCTGGGCAAACAATCTATTTTGCTCGATGAAGGAGTGACGGTTTTCTTATTATTCTTGTCCGCTTGGATCGTATAATCTTAAGACACTGAGGATTATCTTATGTGGAATGAATGTTTCTCTTTTCCGAAAATTTCGCCTTAGATTCGACGCTGTCGTCAAGACAGTTCCGTCGTTTTATTCAGATGCATGGGTGGAACTAAGCCTATGGGGGTGAGACAATATTTCCGTGGCACTGTGGCCGCTGACGGACGCTTTGTCCAGCCCCCACATGTCACGTGAGTGGATTTGGAGCAGCGGTGGATTGGGGGAAAAGCTGTCCCAGTAAATTAATTAAGGAATATTTTTATTCAGCCTAGTAAATGGGTTTTCTTAAAATTCATTTCTTATAAAATATATGTAATATAGGCGAATTAGAATATTGATTTCTCACTCCGATATTAATATCTGACAGTTCTTTTATTTCATAAGATGTAAAATTATGTTCGAGGCCGCTCTAATTTATCATGTAGCCCTACTACTAGTAGAGAGGAAAATACAATTTCTGTCGTTTTGAATTTTCTTTGTATAAAATACATTTTGAGAGATCACAGTAAAGTAGTGGTGAGTGAGTCTTGGTCACTTCAACACTGTTATCGTAAGTTCGAGTCCCGCGTTGTCTTGTGTAGGGAGATACCTTACGATGGGTTTATACCCCGCCCAGGGATTTATACGTAATTTAAAGAAAAAACACTATTTTTAAACCCCACTACTTGAGGAATTCTAAGTTCTCCAAGAAAATGAGTGAGGAAAACATTTGCATTTTTGAGATAGTGGAGTCAGCAAGGACCTCTGAAGCGTTGGTAAACGTCTACCAGACTAAACGATGTTACAACCCAGAAGACAGCCATTTTCAGATTCACCGCAGTGAAAACGTGAAGTTCTATTTTGTATTTTTATTCTCGGCTCTCTCTCTCTCTCTCTTTTCTTTCTTTCTTTCTTTCTTTCTTTCTTTCTTTCTTTCTTTCCAAGGGGTCATTATTTGTGGAGTTTAAGCTGCCAGCATTGAGTAATTACGTTTAAAAGCGTAAATGTTCCGAAGTTTGTGACCGGAATTATCGGAGTGTAGCTTATAGTTTCCAGGGATTATAAGAAGAAAGCTAAGGAAGGAAGGGATCGATACTAAATCGATGTCCGACCAGAGCGAGCATTCCTTGACCCGTCACGTGGACAGGAACCTTTGAACGGGCAACACAGTTTGCACACGCCGACTTGACATCTGCCTCAATTGACCTCGATATATCAGAACCACTTGACAAAAACTGGCCGCTAAGAAAATGGATGATCGTGTCTCCTTTTCCCAGCGACAAGACCTTGAACCCCCGTACATGTGTATCCCCTGCAGAGCCGAGTTAAATTTCTCTCGCGTCATTTATAACAATATACTGACGTGCAATCAGAACCGTCTTAGTAATACGTCTGCAGAGGGAAAGAAACGTGATTTTTGCAGGGTAGGAAACATTTCAGGTTTCATGGCCTCGTTTCTTATTGAGCTGGACTTATCATTGAGCAGTTCATATGTACGAGAAATTTGTAATTCTCTTTCATTTGCCTTACCATTTATTTGATTATTTATAGTTTATTTACTGAAAGAATATAAAATTCGTACGTGTTTCCGTTTATGTACGACTTTTAATGATAAAAATTCTTGCGAATAAGGAAGTAAGAACTTATCGGTAAACAAAATAAGATTATGAAAAATAATTATTGTATTTTTGTACTGACAAGTTAACTTGTAAATCGTAGAGTAGTTTGTAAGAAATTCGTGTTGACGTAAACGTATTCAGTGTATTTGAAAAGATGATGACGCTTTAATTTTCGTTCATAATTAAATGTGGCCTTCATTTCGAGTTTGTTTCGGGTGGTGTACGCAGTTCGTATTGGTTTGATTCTTCGAAAAAGAAACGTAGGTATTTTGGAATTATCCTGTATCAGAGCGCGTATCCCAGCAGTTTAATTTTATATATTGAAGTCGGTAAAATCTTAAACTGTAAAATTTTGAACGCATGTTTGATAGAAACTGGAGACAACTTTTTCTAAAATCCTTCGAACATTTTCTTGAAGTTCGAATATTTTGGGACCACAGCAACAAGACAAATTAAATTAAGAAGTTGTCGGGTCTTTCACTGACTTTGTACATTGGAACGAGACCCACATTAACTCAAATTTAAATCGATCTTACAAAGTTACTGGGCAGAATGGAAACACGAAGAGTTAGAAGGATTAAGGTTGAATAATTTAATGCACTTCCAAATCCGTTTCATCTACTTTATACGCCATGTTATTCCATGATAAAAGGGAAATAACAAAGAAAGATTATGTTTTAACCAGTCGCTGCATTCATTTTAAAAATTACTCAGAGGAAAACTTGAATGAAAGCAGCTTAATACATCTGAAATTAAAAATGTGGAAACACAAATGTAGAGCTGTCAGTGTTAGAATCTTTTTAGAACATCCCTGTCCAAACTAATCCAAAACTCAGTTTTCCTAAAGCAACCGCAGAACTCGGTATATGTAACGTTTGTGCCTTTGGGAAACGTTTTACCTAACGCATTATAAATATTATTTGTCTGATTTTATTAAAAGCAGTGTCGCAGTTTACGGTGAACTGAAACATAAATACGAAAAAAGTCACTGAAATTTAAGCCTATCAGATATTAATAAAGAGGCTGGTGGAGAAATCAACGCTGAAGAAAGTAGGTGTGTGTCCATGTCTCAGTGTCAGAGTTTAAGACGGAATCAATATAAACATAGTTTGTAGTTTAGATGCGTCATGTTTGTGTTGAAATTCAGTATATATTTATTTATTATTTCAGTCTATACACAAACTTAGTTTTTAAAATGTTGTTGTTAAAATTAAAATTCTTTTGATCTTCGTAGTGTTTTGCATATTTTTGGTCAGTTGTTCATATTCTGTGAAACAATTAATTAACATTCGAATTATTAATTATTAATATGAAAATGAGTTTGGAGATTGTCGTAGAAAATATATATTTGTAAAATTATAGGAATATATTTTAAAGATGAAAATAACAATAAAAAACCTGAGGATGATGCAATAGCATCGAAACATGTCGTAAAATAATAAGCGCTTAAATGTAACATCGTAATAACGATGAAAATCGCTAAATTTTAATTTTAACAACAACATTTTAATATTAAGTTTGTGTATAGACTGAAATAATAAATAAATATATACTGAATAAACATAGTTAATAAATCAGTGGAAAAATTTGACAGAAATGTACAAATAATCGAACGACAGTAATATATCAAAATTTAATTCACGAAATATACCTCTGTAATTTTTTGCTGTTGTAAGAAGAACATATGGATCGACAAATAAGAGGTAACTGAAGAAAAGTGCGTAATGAAATGAGATTAGGCGTACTTAGATCGGTGAAATTTGTGATCGCGGTTTGTTTGGATCAAAATGAAAATAATATTCTCTGTAACGAATCAAGCGAACGTCTTTTTTGTACACAAATTTTGTAGTGTTCTACCCCGACTTGTAGAAATTTGTTTCAAATTTGTTGAGCCGTTGATGCTTAAGATTTTTTTTTTTTTTAAACTTCTCTCGATATGTCGGTGGTAGCTGAGGACAACCTCAGTCTTTGTTCTCCTTACCATTTTTTTGAATAGTACGAGAATATTAAACTTGCGAAATAAATGTAGTGTGGTCGTTTGCGTTCATTGTCGCGAAATCCTTTGTTATGAGCCTTGCAAATTAATTAATTAATTCAGTATGCAGAA